ATGTTATTTCTCCTTCTCTTAAATAGGTCATCACAATGTTATTTCTCTTAGGAGCCTTGGCCCTATCTCTAATTATCTTTCTCATTGAAATGACTGAGGTTGAGGTGGGACACAAAGGAGTATCAGGGGATGTACATAAACAAAGCAGCCTTTTATCATAAAGTAAGTCTTCACATCAGTTTCTACTGGTGTAATGGCCACTTGGGATTCAAGTAAATGAATTTCCAATGTTTTCATTCTGCTCAAAGCTGTATATCAGGTGACATGTGATGATTGACATTATCTATTTCAGCCTAGGAGACATTTACCTTTCATCAAGATTTACTAGCAATCAAGCATTACTTATTGAGAATTTTCTATATGTGCCATATACAGAGAGGTAACTCTGAAACATAAATCATATACCTCATTCTAAAGAAATTAATACTATATTTGGGTAAGAAAAACAAAACAAAAAAAAACACAAACAACAACAAAATAGAAAGAGATAATTGTTGTCAAACAAAATTGAAGCAAATAATCTAAAAGATACAATATTATATTTTGTAGTAAATTGAACATGGTAGATTCATCAGACAACAAAAGCAAGTTTCCTTTATTTAATCAGTATGTATTAAGACAGTAAAGACCATTTTGAACAAAAATAAGAAAAATTTTATTAATAGTTAACTACATCAAAACAATGATTCATGACTTCAGAAACTAATTTTACCTAATTAGTGTAACAGATTTTTATTTTAAAATTCATTCCCATACTCAAAATAACTACTTATTAATTTCTTTACAATAAATACCAAAGTAAGCAATGACCTCCATTGCTACCAATATCAATGAATAGAAATACTGACAGTTTTCCTGCCATTTAAGCAAAACAGCAATCTCATCCTCTCCTAATTCTGTGAGCAACCCGCATAACAAACTTGTACATTGGAGAGCAATTGAACTAAAAAACATAAGGTATGCAGAATTACAATTTTGTTTCAAAATTAGGTGAAACACTGAAAATGGAAATAATTTCAGAATATTTGAAGAATTTAGAAGATATACAAGTCAGCAATACACAGAACTACCACTGGCTAAGGAAGGTATAAGATAGCTAACATCATAAGCTACAATTTTAAGTCAAGTTCCTTCAAAGCCAGTGAACTAATGACAAAATTAGGTACATGTGTGTAGTAAATATATTAAATAAATTACTTCAGAAAAGCAAAAGTAATCGATATTAGCTAGACTATTAAAAGAAAAAAATTATTGGAGAAAACATGCCTCAAGAATGGTAGAATGTAGATAAAATCAAAGAAAAAAAGATTATTTTGAGAACATGCTTTTTTATTGTTTTTAATTCATATATAGTAAATGTGCACATTTTTGGTGTCCATGTAAATGTTTTGATGCATTCATACAATGTATAATGATCTAATCAGGGTAACTGAGACATCTAGCACATTAAATGTTTATCTGTTCTTTATGCTGGGAACACTAAGATTACTATCTTTCAGCTATTTTGAAATATAAAAATAATTATTAATTTGTTTTAATATAAGAAGTCCTTTCTCAAAACCCTATAAAGCTATTCAATTCATATGAAGCACTCTGGGCTTTATCCACTTATTTCTGGTAAAGAGACCAGCAGAACAATTTAACAATATCCTCCCTGAAAGTCAACCATTAGATATCAAATGGCTTAGAATGAGCCTCGGAACAACAGCTATAGGTTTCCATAAATTCCATTCGTTTTGCTTTAGTTGACTTCTCTGAAAATATATTTTAAAATAAATTATAATAACTCACTGAAAAAATAGTAATTATTGTTTACTACAGTTATAATTATCCAAATTATACAAATTTATCAAACGCTAGTCTTACTTCTTCTCTCGGGCTGTATATTTGAATCCATTAATACACCTCTTTTCATTCCTCCCTCCCCTATCTTTCCCTCCCTCTAAAAACCACCAATCTACTCTCTATTTTCATGAGATTCATTTTTTTAGCTCTCAAAGAACATGTAACATTTCTCTCTCTTTACCTGGCTTATGTCATTTAAAATAATGACTTCCTGTTCCATCCATGTTGCTGCAAATGACAGGATTTCATTCTTTTTAACGGTTGAATAATATTCCATTGTGTGTGTGTGTACACGTATGCATATATATGTATATGCATATACATATGCATATATATGTATACACATACACACACATTTTCTTTATTCATTCATCCACTGGTGGACACTTAAGTTGATTCCATATATCTTGGCTATTGTGAATAGTACTGTGATAAACATAAAAATGCAGATAATCTCTTCAAATATATTAAATTTTCTTTCTAGTTTTTTTTTTTGGATGGAGTCTTGCTCTGGCACCCAGGCTACAAGATAGGCTGAAAGAAAAGATTACTCCATTTATGTATTTGAACAAATGATGCTATAGAAACAACATATATTGAAATAAATTTTACAAACAGCCAGGCACAGTGACTTACGCCTCTAATCCTAGCATTCTGAGAGGCCAAGGCAGGAGGATCACTTGAGCCCAGGAACTGGAGATAGGCCTGCTCAACAGGTAAGACCTATCTCTACAATAAATAAAAAAATAAAAAAATAGCCTGGCATGGTGGCACGTGCCTGTTGTTCCAACTATTAGAGAGGCGGAGGTGGAGGAATTGCTTGAGCCCGTGTAGTTCATGGTGCAAAGAACCCTGTTTGCACCACTGCATTCAGCTTGGTTAACAGAGTGAGATCCTGCCTAAAAAAAATTACAAACAAAAACAAGAGAAAAACAACTTTATATGTGAGTTAACATGAATATTTAATATATTTTATATATAGACGAGGGATACTCAGATAATGAGTAGTTCTCAAAGAGGTGACTCATCTCTTTGGTGAATTTCAGATTATATGGTATCTTCAAGGGAGAACAGTAAATTCTCGGAGAAGTAGTAAGATGGAAAAGATATAAGAACTTTAAGTTGTTATAGATAGCAACTTGGCAGAAGGTGAATCAATGGTAGAAAAAGGCTAGTTATCTTACTACAATTTGTTAATGTAGATTCCTCTACTACATTCTCACAGCTGATAGGGTCCGAAGATGTCTTCAGTGGTTAACATTCGTGAGTCAGTTTGGGGTGGGCAAGGTAACATTGTTCTTTACAATTCTTTGCCCTGCTTTTAGGCAAATAGATGGTGGGTAGCACACTTTCCTGCATCTGCTCCTTCTTAATTATATTCAGCTCTCATCTCCCATGTAGGAAATTTTAGATAGATTAGAATCAATTTGGATTTTATAGTGAAAATCATGCTCCAGTTTTATTTAATGTATTTCTAAGAATGAATTTTGCTAGAGTATTATCTTCTGCAAGTTAAACATATATTCTTAGTTTTCCAGTTCTTAAATTAGAAAGATCCGTCTAGATGGGGATTCATTTAGTGTTGCTACTCAGTGTGGTTCAGAGACCAGCAGAATTTGTATCACTCAGGAACTTGTTAGAAAAGTTGAATCTCAGGTCCATCTGAAGTTACTGAATCAGAATCTGCTTTTTAAACAAGATCACTAGTTGATTCCTATATCCAGTAAAGTTGCAAAAGTACTAAATTTGCCTTACATTAACTGATCCACCCAATTCAGATCTGCAGATAATGTTTGGTCCTGAAGAGGGGTTGTTTTACCTCAATGGGTCCTTTACTGCCGCTTGCCATTGAGCCAATAGAAAGCGACAAGGTTCTGTTAAGCAGAGCAGAAACTTTATTTGTTGTTCAAGGAGTAGAGAAGGAGAGTGTCCCATTCACGTTCTCCCCAGAGGTATGGAGAAAGGACATTTTTAAGGTCTCTCAGAGCAGGTAGGTAGAGATTAAGGGTGGGAATTCCTGGAAAGAGGTGGAGCTTTCCAGAGAAAACTGGAATGTGTGCAGTCTTGTTCTTTCTTTTGCACTGGGTACTCACTATATGTGCCTAGCAAAGGGCATCTCTCCCTACTGGGCAGAGATTTTAATATGATAAGGAAGTGAGGATTCAGGTCTGTCTGAGTAGCACTGCCAAGCTGAGTTCTTTCTCCTGGCTTGTTTGTGGTTACTGGCTGTTGTTTCTGTAAACAGGTACTACTGAGACCACAGGTTGATTTCATAGGTTCTGGGGCTCTTTAACAGAATCAAGGTCTTGCTACCCTGACAGTAACTTATTGACACCCTAAGATGCATTGTGATTCAAATTTTAAGGATTTGTTAGAATGATACCAAGGAGTTTTATTTAATGCTAAAGAAAATGATATCAATGTTACTGGAAACCCACTTATGTGTCTGATGTGTTATCCATTCCCAAATCTATTAGTTAATAGATTTCACTCTTTCATTTCACACTTAAATACTCTCTAAGGTAAGTGCTACTGCCTCCATGTAGGTAGATGTGAAAACTAACGTGAGGCTAAGATTTGTTCAATAAGTATTGCGCATCCTGTGTCTGCAAGCCCCTGGGAATAAAGTGCACATGGCTTCTACTGTTAATGTAATATGCAATATTTTGTAATTAGACAAAGGCCAGGCAAGCACAGGGTAGTGTAAGAGCTTGTAAGAGGGAAGCCTAAATTGTCAGAAGGGATTTAGAAAACACTTCTATTTGGAAAGAATATTTAAAGTCATGTCTGAAGAACACGTTTTTATAAAGTTGACTCTGTAAAAGGCTAGTATGTCTTGGAGTTTTGTAAGGGGAACTAAGCAGCAGTTGAAGCTGGAACATTTCAGGAATCCTGCAGAACTTTATAGAACAAGGTGCGGACGCTGGACCTTATCCAAAAGTCTAAGGAAGCCACTGGAGGGTTTGAAGCCAGGAAGTGACAGGCCCTGATCCACATTTGGAAAGGCTCCTTCTCTCAGACACAAGGAGAGCCCTGCAAGCGGGTGGGTTTATTGGGGCCACTCCCCTAGGCTGCCTTTCTCCACCCTAATCACCGCCCCCTGCTTCTCTCAGCTTAGCCATCCGAGGTGGGTGGGAAACGAGTAAGAGGGGCGGGGGAAAGAAAAACATTCTCAAAAAAAAAAAAAAAAAAAAAAAATTAAAAAGAAAACATCCCACTTGGCAGCGAGTGCGCGGGAAGTTCAGCGCGCGAGTTCCGGGCTTCCCGCCCGTCCGCAGAGGACTGCAGCCTGGGTGAGCCCTCAGTCCCCGCCTGGCCAGACCCTGTCAGTCCGTCCGTCCGTCCGTCCGTCAGTCGGTCTGTCCGCCTCCCCTTCCCCCACGCCTTCTTCCTCCGGGCGCCGCGCGGGTCGGGAGGTCAGAGGGGCCCCCTAGGTCTTCAGGACGCCCGCGGCCCGCGTCGCTCCCGGCAGCGCCTCAGCGGCGGCGCCTATAGAACCCGGTACCGGGCAGGTTCGGGTCTCGGCAGGGCAGTATCTCGCCGCGCGTACTCCGCGGCTGGGGCCTCTGACGCCTCCACTTGTGGAGTTCTTCCCTGAGCCGCTGTAACTTTAAACCACTCTGAGCGAGGCCTATTTTTATTCGGAAATCAGCGACCAGGGCGTCTGTGGAGAATGCTCAGATGGAGGGCCAGCCCGCCACTTGACGTTTTCTCACAGATCGGACGGGAAATAACCTCTCGTCCTAATGATCTCTCTTTTCGATTTCACTTCTATTGCCACCTCCCAGGGAGAGCCAGATTGTTTGCTGTGGGGTCTTTTTGATGCGGGTGTTGCCTGAGCTGGAGGAGCTGTATCTGAACCCCGCTGCTTGGCCCTTGCGTGGTGATTCCGAGGACCCCGCACTTGAGCCAGGCCAAAGCTGTGGCCTAGTGTCCCCTCACAGGAATTGCTCCAAGAGCTCCAGGGAACAGGCTCACAGTGGCAAGGACGAGGAGATGAATGTAGAAGCCAAGTACCGCATGGCCTCCCTGTATGTGGGTGACTTACATGCAGATGTCACGGAGGACCTGCTGTTCAGGAAGTTCAGCACTGTGGGGCCGGTGCTGTCCATCCGCATCTGCAGGGACCAGGTTACCCGCAGCTCTCTGGGCTATGCCTACGTGAACTTCCTGCATCTCGCTGATGCCCAGAAGGCGCTGGACACAATGAACTTTGACATAATAAAAGGCAAATCTATCCGTCTCATGTGGTCTCAGCGTGATGCCTACTTGAGGAGATCTGGAATTGGGAATGTGTTCATCAAGAATCTGGACAAATCTATTGATAACAAAACCCTTTATGAACATTTTTCAGCTTTTGGAAAGATCCTTTCCTCCAAGGTGATGAGTGATGATCAAGGCTCCAAGGGCTATGCATTTGTGCACTTCCAGAACCAGAGTGCTGCAGACAGGGCCATTGAGGAGATGAATGGAAAACTGCTCCAGGGCTGCAAGGTGTTCGTCGGCAGATTCAAAAGCCGTAAAGATCGTGAAGCTGAACTCAGAAGCAAAGCCAGTGAATTCACCAATGTTTACATCAAAAACTTTGGAGGTGACATGGATGACGAGAGATTGAAGGACGTTTTCAGCAAATATGGCAAAACTCTGAGTGTTAAAGTGATGACAGATTCTAGTGGGAAATCCAAAGGCTTTGGCTTTGTGAGTTTTGATAGCCATGAGGCTGCCAAGAAGGCTGTTGAAGAAATGAATGGAAGGGACATAAATGGACAGCTCATTTTTGTAGCCCGGGCCCAGAAGAAAGTAGAGCGACAGGCTGAGTTAAAGCAAATGTTTGAGCAGCTGAAAAAAGAACGAATTCGTGGGTGCCAGGTGGTAAAGCTCTATGTTAAGAATCTTGATGACACCATTGATGATGAAAAACTACGAAACGAATTCTCTTCATTTGGATCAATTAGCAGAGTTAAGGTAATGCAGGAAGAGGGGCAGAGCAAAGGGTTCGGCTTGATCTGCTTCTCCTCTCCTGAGGATGCTCTTAAAGCAATGACTGAGATGAATGGCCGCATCTTAGGCTCCAAACCTCTTAGCATTGCCTTAGCCCAGAGACACTAGGAAAAAAAAGTACCTTCCCAACTCGTATCTGCAGCAGGTGTGGGAATGATACTGATCTCTGTCCGAACTGACCTCAGTAAACTTAATATTCCACATTATGGGTACTTAGTTTAGTAAACTTTGTGAAAAAGGTTTTTTTAATATACAAAGTCATTTATCTTCGTTTGTAGAAAAATAAATGAAGCTTAGTTCATTTTCCAAAGGCACATTTTCTGATTTCAATAGTATATATATTTTTCTTATTTTGATGTAGTGTTCATAGCAATAAGTATAAATAGATACGTTTTTATTACATTTGAACCAAACGAAGAGGTAATTGTTTGAATGTCTTTATTACTTTAGTAATATTGCTAGCTTTAATTTTGTCTATGAAAATATGCTCAAAGTAGTTATTACACCTTAAGATTCCAAAGTATTTTTACCAACAGAAATTTTCTAATTTTTCATTCAAGTCTTTCATTCAAACTTTTAGAAATTTATAGTTCAAATTTAGTTAAAGATCTAATTTCATTTTGAATTAATGATTAAAGTACTCAGATATAGTTGAATTTCTTTTAAATTTATATCCTGACATGTTTGTTTTTTTCTGATGGTTTAAATTAAGATGCTGGAGGTTTTTCAATGCTGCCTTAAAACCAGCTTTATGTGTTTTGTTATTCTTTCCATTAGTTGACTATAATTCAGGTACTTACTGGTTAATCTAAATTGTAACTTGCACTGTAAAACCTTAACTTCTGCATTCCTTAAGTTATAAATTTGTATCATCTCAGGTGATCCAAAGTTGTTGTTGTCTTAAATCTCTTCATAGCTATATAGTATAATATTACATCTTAAATTTTACCAGATACTAATATTATGAAAATCATATATGCAGATTATAGAAATTCTGTTTATAAACTTTTAAAATCTCTTTTATATTATTTTGTGTAGTGATATTCTCTTAAGTTTCAGAAAAGTAAGTTCCTCTGTTTTTATGAACTCACATCTTTTATTAGACTGCGGCAGCTATGTAACCCACAAGGTTCACTTTTAGCCTCGATTGTTCAGAAACTCACTAATTTTCTGATAAATTGAAGTTACATCACTTATTCTGTTTTCTAGCATAATTTTTAGTTTAGAGCCATTCCCCTATTTTCCTTTCTCTCCTGCCTTTCATCTATATTACTCAGCTTTTTAAAATAATTTTTAAAGAATTTTTTATATTGGTTTTTTAAATACGCTGCTTCAAATCCATTTGGAAATTGAGGCAAGAGTTATGTATTTACATTTAAATAATTGCTTTACAAATTCTGATTCATACCAAAGGTATCTAGCAAATGATTTTGTTATTACTGTTTTCATATTTTTACTTGGATTAGTCATTTCTTATTTCTATTATTCAAATATTCTATTCATATATTACTAATATTAAATAAATAGTAAAATGTTTAAGGCAATACTTCAGCTTATGAATGAGAAAAGCTTGTTACATTTTATTTTTATGGAAATTATATGTATATTCTTTGCACATTTTCTAAAATAAAATTCTTTAAGTCAGTGAAAAAAATATGAACAATAAAAGAATTTTTAAAAGTAGCATATAATTGTGTTATGTCAACCAATTCTCTATTTCAATTTGTTGCATATTTTTCCAATTTTTTCATCTCTCCACATATATACAACTACGTAATTTAAGAAAAATAGGATAATATTATAAATATTGTTTGAAATTGCTGTCTTAATTAGACAATATGCCATGGTCAACCTTAATACTCAAAATAATTATTTTCTTATAATCTGAGTGACTTTTATGTTTTGTTCAATGACTTTACCAAAATATAACTAATTTCTTTTTGATGAACTTATATGTTGCTAGATTATTTATTCCTTTATTCTTTCTTCCTCTATCATAAATAACTTGGAGGTTAACATTCTTGCAAACTGACATATGCAGATATATCTATTTTCTTAAGAAAATGTTTAGAAATGGAATTAATGGTTAAAATAGAATCAATTAAAAAAAATAATTTTGATAAATATTGCTTAAATGCTGTCCAGAAAATCTCTGGCACTTATGTTGTCATTGTAGGAGAATGCCTACTTCCCTGTGCTCCAGGAAACAAGAGGTTTTGTTTAAGCTGTTGGTCAATTCAAAGCAAACTATTTCATCATTGCTTTATTTCACTTTTTTAAATTACAAAAGTTAAACAGCATTCTGTACTTACTGTTTGTATTTTCATTCTTTTGAGTTAATGTCTCATGATCATAATTATTTTTTTGTTGGAGTGTTTTTTATTTACATGGAATTTTAGATTTCTTTGAATATTATGACAACATTTTAGACTTTTCCCCCGATATTTTACTTTCTTTATAGTTTTGAAGGTTATTCCAAAATTAAATGTTAAGCCGGAAAGTTTCAGTATTTTACTTAAATGGCTTTGATGTCATGTTTCAAAATATTTTGAACACTTTAAATATATATATTCACACAAATATATATACACCCACACAATTCATTTGTATTGTACTTATGACTTTCAGAATTTCATATTCTCAATGATTTTAACTAAAATTTTCATTCATAAAAAGTATTATATAAAACATAGTAAATCTTTTAAAAATATTATGCTTTTCCATATTTAATAGCATATATTTTGATAAATACTTGACTCAATTAGTCAATGAATTAGAGTTGGCATATGAGTTTCACATAAATTCTTATATTAGATAAGTATTTACCAAAAGATATATCGGAAGCAGAGAGTTCTTAAAAAGTTTACCAGACAAGAAGACTGGAAAATATATTAAGCGTGCCTGGCCTTGTCATCTTATTCTGGATAATTTAGTCCTCATCTTATTTTGAAAAAGCTAATCTGTAAAACTGTTCAAATATTTGAACAGTATTGATAATGCTTACATATATTTTCAAGATAATATCAGGAAACTGAGTTCTCTTACATATATAAGGAGTTAATAATACATTAACATCAGATGTGTAGGTGAATATAGCTATGGCTTAATTACACAATAATTGCCTTCTTAGTAGACAGTGCTTATTTCAGCATTTACTGTAAGAAGTGACTAAGTTTACAAAAATATACAATCTGTGGATTTCTTTATTTAAATTTTGTTCATTCTCCTTTTTTTGGTGCTTTATAATAGCAAGTTATCTTAGTTGAAAATAGAGATTCATTCTTTAAAGACTATTAAATCTCTTATGACCAAGTGCCTTAATAAATAAGTAGAACCTTAACTTTTCTGATAAACATTCCAGTAAAAGCTAATGTAGGTAGATATGCCTTGAGCCACTGTTTCTACTTTCCCCTTTCTCCCAACACATACTGCCATATCTGCTGTGTAGTTGCCTGCTTACATGTACAGCCATTTCAAGACAAGTATTCTTTTAAATTTCAAATAGGAATTTAGTTTTTAGAAATAAAAATTCTAAAGTGATTTAATGTTGTTATTTTTATGTTCTCAATATTCTTATATATCCAGTGAGAAAATGTCAAATAAAATCTTGATATTTCAAGGTGAAGGCATGTCTGAAAATGTTTTTTATTTATTATAATGTATTTCTGATTTTCCAAAGATCAGTTCTCTTAAGAATGAACTGAAAACAGCTTGTGTTTTTTAGTGAAGATACTTGTATTACAGGTTTTCAAGGCCGATTTCTGTATGAACTATTATGTCCTTTGTATGTTACTCATAATCATGGGCTCACAATCAAAATGAAAACACTAACATAGATCAAGTTTTAATGAGGAATAATCAATTATTTCAAAGACACTTCTGAATTTGTTATTAAATTCAACAAACCTGCCAAGTGCTTAGAATTGGCTTACTCATAGTATATTTGGAAATACGGCCCATAATTTAATGTAAAACATAGATATAATAAAAACAATAAAAGAAAAATATAATTTTTAAAAATCTACACTTCAAAAAATAGAGCAAATTAAATGCCCTCAGGATACTTTTGACCTATATAGAGAAGCATATGTGTGTGTATATATATATATGTGTGTGTGTGTATGTGTGTGTATTTATATATATACACACACATACACACACAAACATATCTCTCTCAAGTATATGTGTAATCAAGTCTGAGTTACACATACATTTGCCTTTGAATTAAAGGCAGCTTATTTTGCAGATTTGCCCAGAGGAAATATGTATAATTCTGTGTTGGTTTTGTCTCATGGTCATGTGGTATTTTAGAGTTCACAGAATGCTCTTGACTAAATTGCAGTTGCCCTAAATGAAACAATTGAATCCAAATGAGAGGGAAATTTATCTTCTTAGTGGCATTCTTAGCTGTAGTAGAGAAAACACCTTAACTTCTGAGAGAGATTTATAATTTGTAAAATGATATTCCATCAGATTTTGTTAACCCATTTATATCTACATCTCCTTAGATATTTTAAAAATCCTGATTTTGAAGTTCTGCCAAACACTAATAGCACATTTGAGTTGCGAAGGCAATGTCACTGAAGTGGCAGATATTATTATTTTTTGCATTCAGTATTGGTCATAATTTATTTTTTGTTTGTTTTTAAAAATCAGTATCTCCAGTGGAATTTTCTTATTATAGAGAGCCATATCTGATGGTCTGTAGGGCATCACAATTTTGATTTACATTTTATTTTTTCTTTGTACATGTGCTAGTAGCATACTTATGCGCCACAAGTTTTGATATGTTGCCATTACTAGTTCCTTGAGGTTAAAGTAAGCCTTTATAATAGTAATGCCAGCAAATCTTTGTTAATCAAAGAAATACCTCAATTTGAATGCAAGCCAAATCTTAGAATTATAACTAGATTATTTTGATACATTATTTTACTGAATTGCTATCGGAAGCATTAGAAACCTAGCATTATTCACCACATTAGTCACTAATATTTTACATATAGTTCATATACAAATGACATTTATATTGTATAGATTGCAATTGGTAAAAGACCATCAGTTCTGAAGTCATACAGTAATCCAACTTTTAATATTTGTTTTGATTTTACCCCAAAAGCTATTGGTAAATGCACATTTGATCATATCATTCTTCTGCTTAGAAGCCTTGCCTGGCCTTTCATTACTCTTAAAATCAGGTACAAATCTTTACTGTGGTCTAGTAGACCTTGCATTCTCTGGTCCTTGTGTATTCTTTAAACTTTTCTTGTGCTTATATTTCACTTGGTCAATGTACTGGAAATTAATTGGTCTTGTTTCAACTCTTTTAAAAGTGTCAGGATAATTCCTGCCTCACCAAAAGTTTTAACCTTTTAACAGATAGAATGCTGTATATTGTAATGGTGGAACAAATCTTCCAACTGGTTTATGAAAAAACAAATATGGTGAAAGGATTTAATTGCCTTCAGAAAATACATATATATTGTAGGTATAGGTAGCCAGGAATAGAGTTTTGTTCCAGAATTCTCAGTGCAAGTTTTATTGGTTCTGTTTGTCACATTCTTTTTCTAAACCAATCACTGTAGCCAAGGTAATGAGATTTACTGATTAGCTAGCGTGAGATGACATATTCAAACGTTGACCAAAAATATCCTTGACCAAGAAAGGTAGATTGTTTTTCACGGAAAAATCAAGATACGAGTGCCAGAAAAAGTGTGAACTGCTGTAGAATGAACCCTCCCAGTATCTACAATATATGAGCTGTTTAAACTGTTCCCAGTGCCTGGAATACTCCCTTAATCTTAATCTGATTCTTGCTTATCTTTTTCTGCTTATCTTTCAGGTTCCAGCTTAAATACTATTTTCAAGCAGAGTCTTTCGAATTCTCAGTACTCCCATTTCCCTCTCTACTTTGCCAGCATAGCACTTATTAGAGAAGCTAAATAAAACTCCTCCACTCCCAAGACAGGCAGCATAAGTCATTTTTTTGATTAGTAGCTGGCTCATTAATCAATCCTTATTTACCAGTTGACAAACTTATTACAAATAATTACCTGCTCTTTTCTTTTTCTCAATACTTGTGACTGGACTGCTAACCCAATATATGGCCTGAAAAGTTCTGTCACTTTCAGATTTCTTTCACTATACAGGTGACTATAAAATCATGAAATTCCGAGTTATGTTCAGGAAGTGATAGAAGAACATTCTTAGGTTTCAAGATCTAAGCCATAGTTTTTATCCATGGTTTTTAATAGTCTAAAATTTATTTTATTGAACATTATAAGAATTTAACTAAGTACTTTTTTTTCGATCAGTCTAATGTTCTAATGTTTCTTTTATACTTCTATCTAGGGACCCTTATGGAGATACAAGGTGTTTGGGCAAGATCTAGGTATTCTTACTTAGGCTTCTGGAGTTGCTAATATTAGAAGCCATCCAAAGCCAGACTAGATTAAATATTGATGCCTAACATAGACTTGGGCTCATATAGGCAGTCTAGAATTTGGGAGCCAAATGAAAATATATAAATAATCTTCTTTTCAAAATGAAAGTATTTTTCTTTCTTTTTTTTTCTCTCGCAAGGGACAGGAAAGTCTCCCTATAGAATGTTAACCTACAAAAACCATGATACTTTTTTCAAAATTAGATCACATATAAAAGTGTTACAGAGAGAAAAAGAGTGAGTTTCTTGGAAAAGCTGAGATGGATCACCTTCAAATATTTATGTTTTTTAAAAATATTATTTTAAGTAACAGCTCATTCCCCTCCATTTTTCTAGTTTTTCATATTTTAGGATATAGGATGGGTATATTTATTTGTTGGATATCTGATCTTATTCTAGAAGGACCATTTGAAAGAAGCTCTGTTGCATGATAAAAGTAAAGTAAGTTTCAAGTCTTAAAAGCTTGAGGTATGGGATAGGGAAGAATATTCAGTAGCAAATCACTGCTTCTCACTGAATCTTTTATTAGGTATTGGCTTATGAAGTGCACACATGACAGCAGTACAGAACTAAAAAAGTATAGGCAAGAAAAGGGAACAAATCAACATATTGACGAGGGACATTCATTTAGCTAAACTCTAAAGATTAATCTTGATTACCTTAAACTTTATTCAAATAGATTCATAAAGCATGAATCCTTGTGTCACATACCTTTACTCAGCATGTTTTAATGAGATTCATGTCATACCACTGAGTTTAGTAGTAGTGTGCTTATTGTTATTGTCATATTACTGTTGGGTGACTATATGACAAATTATTTATTCTTTTATATAAACATTTGGGTTGCTTTTGTGTTAATATAACAAGTAATACCACTATGAAAATTATCATAGATGTCTTTCTTTTTGATTAAGATATAATTTGCATAATATAAATTTAACTATTTTCAAGTATAAATTTATAGGTTTTTAATGTATTCACAAGGTTGTACAAAATCACCACTATCTATTTTTGGGATATTTCCATTACCTCACAACAAAAATTTACGCCAAGGAGCAGGCACTTCCCAGTCTCCACTCTCCACAGCCCCTGGCAACCATAATATCGTCTGTGTCTCTATGGATTTGTATATTCTGAAGCTTTTATATCTGTATATATGTAGTATAAATAGCATTATGTAATACATGATCTTTTATTTCTGCTTTCTTTCACTTAATGTTTTAAACTTTCATCCATGTTGGAGCATGTATCAGTACTTCATTCCTCTTTATGACCGTATAATAGTCATTTGTGTGAATAAACCACATTTTCTTTATTCATGTATCATTTGATGGACATTTGGAATGTTTCCACTCTGACTACAATGGATAATACTGCTATGAACTTTCAAGTAGAGGATTTTATATGAATACATGTTTTCAGTTCTCTTGGTTATATTAATAAGCAAAGACAAAGACAGTTTCTCATTATCATTATCAGTTGTGGTCATCTTTTAGAAGAACCAACCTTTGGCTTCATTCATTTTCTTTATTGTTTTTCTATCCTTAATTTTGTTTATTTATCATGTAATCTTTACTGTTTCCTTTCTTTTGCTTGCCTTGGGCTAGTGTGCTTTTTTATTTGTATTTTCTTAAAGTGAGAAGTTAGGATATCGATTTGAAATTTTTCCTCCTTTTTAATATAGACATTCACAGCTAAACATTCCTTCAGCGCTGCTCTAGGGGCAACTAATATGTTGCTGTGTTGTGTTTGTGTTTTCATTGATCTTAAACTGCTTTGGTATGTGTTTTGCTTTCATTGAAGTCAAAGTGTTTTCTAATTTCACTTTTGGTTTCTTCTTTGACTCATTGCTAATTTAGCAGTTTGTTTCTAACTTCTATATATTTTTATATTTCCCAAATTATTTCCTGATATTGATTTCTAATAATGTTCCATTGTGGTTAATGAGCATTGTATTATTTCAATCCTTTTTTAAAAAAACATTGAGACTTACTTTATAGCTAACATGTGGCTTGTTCTGAAAAATCATGTGCCCTTGAGAAGAATGTGCATTCTGCTGTTATGGTCTGGAGTACTGTATAGATATTTGTTAGATGTAGTTGGCATATACTGTTGTTCCAGTCATGTATTTCCTTTTTAATTTTCTGTCTGGTTGAAACATATAGAATAAGCAAGCAAAATATCCG